GTGATGAAGCTTTGAACTAAGGTGATCTCCTGTTTCTGGATCATGCATCTTGTTCTACAGGTCTTCATTCTGAAGGAATGATGCAGCAGAGGTACAGTAATGTAGTAACTCAAACTCAACAAGCAGTTTGGTGCAAAGCCGTAGTTCTAAAAAAAGAGTTGTTTTAAAAATCAGAAAAGATCTACTAACTCACTCCTCATTTGGCTAGTCACGAGGATTGCTTCGGTCAGACGACTTAACATCTAGAAAATCCTCCCACTTTGCATGATGTCACTTGAAGGTAGGGTCCTTCCTGTGTATAACTCAGGGGTCAGCAACCCGCGGCTCTGGAGCCGCATGCGGCTCTTCCATCCATCTGATGCGGCTCTCTGTGCTTGTAAAATAATGAATGGATATTTAAATAAAATGCTTTATATTTTACTGCATTAATTTTACATCTGTAAGCTAATTCTAAATGTAAAGATTGTCTGCGTAAACCTGAACAGCTCCAACCCGGTCTTACTGTGAGACCGGGTTGACGCGTCACGCTTGTGCGTAATCATAGGCGCTTTCTGAGCTGACAAGGAAGTGAGATTCTGGGACTCCTCAGACGGCTCCTGGATGTGTCGCCACATTGGAGACAGGAACAAGCGCTATTCAGCCAAAGTTTCATAATTACGGAACATTTTCTAAGTGACAAGTCTCGCTTCAGTCGGAGGAATCTTCCTGCATGCGCTCTGGTTCTGCGACGTGCTCCAAGCCCCTCTCCACATCTTCAGCTCGCTGTGGACCTTATGTAGTACGCGCTGACAGTGAGCTGCGCTGAGCAGTGTCCAGCTCAGATGTTCAGATAGGAATCTTTTAGCTACATCTGCGATGTGCGTAGAATAAAATGTCAGTTCGTCTGCATGCGTCAGGGTAATTCTTTCTGTTCTTTCTCCGTCAAAATAAACGGTCAAATACGGGAACGGTCCGGTCAACACAAGCCCTGCTTTTAACTGTTCTGTTTTCTTGTGAAAATTGATAAAATTAAACTTGATTAACACCAGAGCCAGGCGCACTGCACCGTTATCTCCGTCACTGTAAATGAGGGAAAAACAAATTGATCGGATCCTTTTCTGACCTTCCCCACCTACAAAGTTTAATTACAACAATCAAACGTGACAGAGCCTGGATTTGTATTCTGAACAGTCTAAACATGTTTTAAAAAGAAACATATGACAAAAGTGGCACCTGCTCAGTAAAACCACCAACCGGGTGAAAAATATCTAAATATTGTAGGCAGAGACGGGCTACAACTTCTGGATTCATTTTATATAAATCGTTTTATTGATTATCGTCTTATGAAAGATAACTTTGACGTACACGAGCGACCGGTACTGGCTGCTGTTACCTGTTGTGAGCAGCGCTCTGCTGTCTGAGGGTAGGCCCCGCCCACAACGCCGCGGCTGCTGTGGCTCCCAGTGTTTTCTTTACTGTGGGAAACGGGTAATAATGGCTCTTTGATGGGAACAGGTTGCCGACCCCTGGTATAACTGATGAAACATCACTTAAATGGAGGGCGAAACAGTCCTTTAATGCAGGAAGTGTCATGTTTTGATCCTGCTGACTAGAGTTAGATTGGTTCATTTATTATTGAACAGCTTATGTCCATGTTAGCGTCTCTCATCAGAGAGGAACCAGACCGCTCCATCAGAGATGTAAGCGTCGCGTATCATATCCACGGAGCGTAGTGCGCAGCAGTTAGCCGCTATCATACTGGATGGGCGGGTTTCCGCTGGATGTGAAGTCTCACGTTTAGGAAGCGTCCCAAAAGCGTAGCGACCAAGGGCGTCAGTTTGTTTTCAGAATTGCTGGGGACAATAACCATACACTTGAGTGGGGTTTAAAAATTGCTGGGGACAATAAAGTAGGCTAGCACAGGGGTCGGCAACCCGCGGCTCTGGAGCCGCATGCGGCTCCTCCATCCATCTGATGCGGCTCTCTGTGCTTGTGAAATAATGAATGGATATTTAAATAAAATGCGTTATATTTTACTGCATTAATTTTACATCTGTAAGCCAATTCTATATGTAAAGATTGTCTGCGTAAACCTGAACAGTTCCAACCCGGTCTTACTGTGAGACCGGGTTGACGCGTCACGCTTGTGCGTAATCATATAGGCGCTTCTGAGCTGCTTTCCGACCTTCCCCACCTACAAAGTTTAATTACACCAATCTAACGTGACAGAGCCTGGATTTGTATTCTGAACAGTCTAAACATGTTTTAAAAAGAAACGTAGGACAAAAGTGGCACCTGCTCAGTAAAACCATCAACAGGGTGAAAAATACCAAAAATTGAAGGCAGAGACGGGCTACAACTTCTGGATCCATTTTATATAAATCGTTTTATTGATTATCGTCTAATGAAAGATAATTAAGACGTACACGAGTGACCAGGCGCGTTGCAAGCTTTTCAAAAGTGTGGGGGATGTTGTCTGTGCCTAAAATAATTATGTTATTCATCTTGTTAGTTTAATTTCCATAATAGCGGAGCAGGTGCGAATTTTAGACGCGTCACGCATGTCTCCGTTTAAACATGTTTAAACTGTTCAGAATACAAATCGAGGCTCTGTCTCGTTAGATGGGTGTAACTAAAGTTTGTACTGAATGAAACTTTACATTAAACCATGTTGAAAAGAAAAGGATCCGATTAAATAGTTTCCCCCTCATTTACAGTCAGTACAGTGCTGTGCGCGTGGCTCTGGGGTTAATCATTAATATGTTACTGGACACGCTGGTCTGGTTGGTTAGACCAGTGTTTGAAGTGGAAACACACACACACACACACACACACACACACACACACACACACACACACACACACACACACACACACACACACACACACACACACCAATTAAAATAATGCTGATAGCGTGGACTAGAAGACAGGTGATGGTTTACGTATTTAAATGATGATCAGGCTGCTGTAAAATGTAATCTCCATCCACATCCAGACACAATCATCCTCTATTCTTTCTCTATTTGCTCTGCTCTTGTCTGGGCTGATCAGCTGACGGTGCGCGCGGCACGCCTAACTAGCGGCTGATGCACATTTTACGCATTTGGAGAGATGGGCTGGATGCTTTGCGTTTACTGGAAGATGGTCCACTTAACGCACGGGTGTAGACTAAATATTAATGACAAATGAATGAAAATTAAATTGGGAGTTTTTACTTCATATTTTAGAAATAAAAATGACGGGGGAACACATTTATGACGTCTTTTTAAACTAAATTTTCTAGCGCGACCTGCCTGCTTCACTTAAGTCACTGCTTATTAAGGTCCCTCCAAAATTACCGTTGCCCACCCAAAAATGAAAACCTGGCGCCGCGCCTGTTATAAACCTCTGCAAATGGTTGTTCTTCACTTTATCAAACTCAGACTTTGTACAGCTAATGTCAAGATGTAAAATTGTGAATTCAGTCGAGCTCTTCCGTCCCTCCCTCTCCTGCTCTCCTGGAAACCCGACATCGGCTGGGAGGTGAAGAAGGAGACGAGGCAAACAGAGTGAGTGCGACGTAAATAAACCAGACTGGTGTGGAGGTGAGCAAAACAGCTGGAAAAGTGTGGGTGTTGTCCTCCACGGGTGCGATGCCCCCGGCTGCTGTCACCTGTTGTGAGCAGCGCTCTGCAGTCTGAGAGTAGGCCCCGCCCGCAACGCTGCGGCTGCTGCGGTGTTTTCTTTACTGTGGGAAATGGGTAATAATGGCTCTTTGATGGGAACAGGTTACCGACCCCTGGTATAAGATCTGAGCTGGTAAAACAAAAATCCTCATCAGCAGGCTTTTTTGAAAGTGGGGGGGACACAGCTGCCAATCACGAATTTTGCCGGGGACATGTCCCCGGCGTCCCCGGTTAAAATGACGCCTATGGTAGCGCGACACTTCAAGGCCCAATCTCAATCCTCGCACTGCGCCCTGCGGACTTCAGCCAAGTGCACTTGAAGAAAGTGTGCTGTAGGGTTGAAGTGTGTAGTACACAAGTGTGCAAATAATTGCAGAATTGAGACATTGCCTTATCGATTGCAGTGCATGCCAGGATGCTGGTTGCTGTGATACTTTTTTCAAAAACCTTTATTAACAACTTTTAAACAAACAGCCAAACAGTTATATGAAATAAATATACATTTATTGTTGCTTTGTCTAAAAGTTTTAGAGCATCAACCAATTGTCCTAAAATGAACTAATTTCATTAGAAAATACATATTTTCAGAAAAGGAACTTGAGACTTTTCTCCTGCAGCAATGGCTTGTGGGTAATACCCTTGCCCGAGGTCCGCATCGCTGCGGACTTGGGTGATGTGCAGATAAAGGGTGCAATGGGGGCGTGGTCATCTTCTGTACTTGAGAATCGGGACACCCTTCCCACTTGCACCCCTGGTCGGGAACCCGCAAATGAAGGGTGCAAGTGCGAGTATTGGGATTGGGTCCAAGTGTCTGTTATGCGCTACGCCTTCAGAGCACGTCAACCTCTGCAGTTCACAGGAAGTGGATCACAAAAGCGGTGTAGAAAAGTATGTAATTTCCTGTGAAACCTCCGTAGTTATAAGGTTAACAGAAGAGAAAGTTGACCACAGACCTGCTTGGATGCATGCTGCCGTTTCTCTCCTTGCTTGTTACCATGTGAACTGCTGACATCACGCATGGTCCTCAGGTCCTTCTGTGTGGAACGCCTTTGCTACCATATCAATGGAAAGGGAGCTTGCAGGTTAAACTGGTGTTGCACACCTCATACACATCCATTTGAAAGCCGGGGTTAAAGTTTAATATTTGCTGAACTTGACTTTTTACAACAGGAGGTAATATTTTCACCTAAAAGCACCTATTTCTGGCCGGAGGCAACAGTCTGCTGTTTGCTTGAGCATCGTTCAAAATGTTCAAACACCTGGATCTTCACCTGAGACTGAGATGGGTGCATCTGCATGTTTCCTGCTAACAGGAACTGATGTCTGTGTGTTTGTACTTCCTTTTTCCTTCAGGATGGAGCGGATGTCCGACGACGCGCTGAGGCTCAACTTGTTAAAGCGAGGTTTAGAGCAGCCCAGCGAGCGGGAGGAGGCGCTGTCCAAACGTTTGAAGATGGAGGGTCATGAGGCCATGGAGCGGCTGAAGATGCTGGCCCTGCTCAAACGCAAGGACCTCGCTGACTTAGCAGCCCTCGAGGTTCCAGGGCCTCTGGGAGAAGGCAAGGGCCCGGGGGCCAGCACCATCCATCACCAGAGCCTAATGGGCTCTCCTTATGAGGAGAAGCTGAATGGAAGTCTACGGCTCGGAGGACACAGCGGCCATATGGGGCAGAGTAAAAACGGGAAGGAGAACATCATGGATGAGCCGGTGGACATGAGCGCTGGGAGGAGATGGTGAGAAGAGAAAATGTTTGCAGTCAGATTTAATCACGAGTGTCTGAGGTTAAACCTGGTGCCGTGCTGAACGCCAGCCTGCCTAAACAACCTTTTCTGTTTAGATTCATTTCTTTATCGCTTTAGCAGCCACAAGATTATGACCATCAGTCTGGGATGGAATAGGGTTTGATCCCCAGATTTACCAGTTTGCCTGTGAGAGGCAGACCCCTCGTCACAGGCGCTAACTGGCTTTAATTGGTCCACACACCTGAATCTGATGACTGATTGTCAACTATGTCATTCTCTGTGTCCTCCATCTTTTTCCCTTCCAGGTGCTCGTGTTTTACTGCTTTCACCAGCCTTGTTTTACCTGTTACCTTTAACCCTCTGGAGGCAGGCGTTGCAGATTAGCAACAGTTAAAACCTACCTACCTGGTTACTCCACATACGTGTTTCATGAGCCTTTTTTAACTCAGAAGAATCCCTGAAGGACTTAGTTGTTCGTCCTTTTATCCAAACTTATTTTGAGCCTGAGAGGGTTAAGAAAGCACTAAATCTACACGAGCATTAGCTGTTAGCAGCGCGCCTGTCTGTGTTCTAGCAACCTGGTTGGTCCGGCGTGGAGCGAACACCTGATACGATTGGTTGTTCATCTGTTCCTCACACCGGATCTAGTGGCTTGTTCTCGTGTCTATCGAGGACATTTGTTTAGAAATAAATGTTGCTATTGCCGAGTCGCATCGTGACGCATATGTCTACGCACCAGATCAGGGGTCGGTAACCTTTACGATCCAAAGGCGGTTTTCCTCCCTCAGCTGTTACAGAACCTTTACGACACGGTAGATAATTATGGTCACTGAGAAATCACAGTTTTTCTTCTAGTCGTGTTTCATTTTGAAAAGAAAGATAAACAACTTTTCCAAAAAGGGGTTATGGATTTTCTTTTCAACGTGATGCTGATGTTTGTAGAAAACGGTGTTAAAAACAATAAAT